GTCTCAGGTATGTCTTTATTAGCAGTGTGAAAACAGACTAATACACTAAGTTTCCCCCGTTTATTGCCATTAGATCACATTAGACTATAGCCCCTCTGTCCTCTTGTATGTCTCCACCACTGTTCACTTTCACCAAACCTAGCATGAAAACACACAGTTTTAACTGCTCCTTTGGGTCTTCATTTTCCTATGAAGGCTTCTGTGTCACATGAAACTTATGCCGAATAAACATGTACCCCTTTTCTGTTAGTCTATCTTTTGTTATAGGGGCCTCATGAACCTAGACTGGGGAGAGAAAAGGGTATTTTTATCCTCCTCTCCAAAGCAATGGAGTGAAGCCGACAGGATTTGTCTTCTGAGGCCCTTTATCTCTTTTGGTCCCCCAGTGTCCTGTGCCGACCTTAACTTCCCTGAGGAGGAACCTACCCAGACTTGATCTCGAGAACAATGTCTTCATTCAAGTGCTTTTCCTTTCCTACTCTTTTCTCTTCTAAAGGCGCCTGTCTCTTGTTCGAAAACCTTAAGGTCTTACAGGAGTCTAGCGAACCAACCTTTTAAATTAGCCATGTGAAAGTATTAATGTCTGGGTGTGTCTAAGAGAAAGCTGATTGCATTGCTTCCCATAGTAAAAGACAACTATGCTGACTAGGCTCGTCTCTTTGAGCAGAGTAGAATGCTGACTTAATATAGAGTTTTTGGCAGTGGGGTGCTGGTAAGCCAGCTCTTTGCAGGGTGGCAGGGAGAAAGTACTGATTTATGGCACTTGCCAGTATCCATGATGTAAGTAATCCCAACATGGCCTGACTTCAAGGCACTGATGACTTAACAAAAAACTCCTAAATATTTAACAGTCAGCTCTTGCTAATCCTCAGAGGCTAGCCCTAGTATGCTATGTGGTTGGGAAGCATGGAGTTCAAGAACTGGTGGACTTTCAGGGGTATGAGTGACACACATCATTTGTAGGATCAGTGCCAGTTGGTTGAGACTCGGACACTCAGAGGAGCTGGTACTGGTTGGCTGACTTTTAGAAGCAAGAGGCTGACCTGGATTGGTTAGCTTGCCAAGCTTACACTGAAATGAGTTGTCATTAATCCACTACTTAGGCTTGGAACCAGTTCTGACAGCTACCTTGATATTATCGGGACATAAAACTCTGTTTCTTAAAGTCGTAGGACCACTTTTGTTCTTAGAAGTTACCCACACTGGATTAAAAATGTTAACTCAGGCCTTTCTTAGAAAAGATGGGACAAGGTGGGCCACTTGTCACTCAGTTAGCGACTTCAGTTAGAATGATAGCTTTCGGATGGCCAGTGAAGCTAAGTGTGGAGGAAACCCCCACTAACATTAAAACAAATTCATTTCAATGAGATGTGTTTCCTATCTTTTTCTTCTTTCCCTATTTCTACAGACTTTTATGAATCTAGGCTTAACTGGAGGATTTGTGGGTAGAATTTTCAGTTCATTTTTTTGGGACAATCTGAGATTTGCTTCTTTGAGATAAACTTCAGCAACTCCATAACTGTAGACAAACAAGGTATCAACAGGACACCAAATTTGGCTGGTTTGCAGAGGAAGACTGTATCTTACATCTAATAAGCATAGTCACACAATGTTCTCTCACCACTCCCCCACCCCCCCAACACATACGCATGCCAATTGCCTGATCTGTGAACATGGAATAGGAATTCTTTGTGAATCAGAGCTGCAGGAGGTTGGATTGGTACCCATATTTTCTTTAACTCAGGCTAGAATGGCCTGCAATACTTATTTTACCATTTAGTGTCTTGTTAATGTTAAAAATGGTTTGAATCTGGTATCTATTTGCAGTCAGCAGCACCATCTCCATGTGTCTTCAGTAAAGGAGTCTGTTCTCTTCTCCAGTTAGCCCCTGCTCAATCCCTTCTGGACCTAGAGTAAGATCCCCACATAGACCATGTCTACCTGCCCTGTGACTGAGAGCAGGGGCTTGGGGGCCTGAAAGCCTGCGTTTAAGCACTGGTTCTCACCAGTCACCTGTGTGACCTTAGCATGCACTACTTATGTAAACAATGTAAGAGAGGTGGAGTAAATCATTTCATCTTCAAAACGATACAACAAGGTAGGCACTATTAGATTCCCCATACAAGAGATCTGTGGATGACACACACAGGCCAGACTTTGCCCCAGCTGCTAAAGAAGACACTAAGGCTGTCCCATTCATTCTTCTGTATAAAGAGAAGAGAAGAATGAGGCTGGCATGATGTAATCCCAGGAATTTGGGAAGCTGAGGCCAGCAAATTGCCTGAGCTCAGGAATTCACGACCAGCTAGGCAACATGGTGAAACCCCATCTCTACTAAAATACAAAAAAAAATTAGCCAGGTGGGTGGCATGTGCCTGCAGTCCCAGCTATTTGAGAGGCTGAGGCAGGAGAATTGCTTGAACCCAGGAGGCAGAGGTTGCAGTGAGCCGAGATCACTCCACTGCACTCCAGCCTGGGTGACAGAGGAAGACTCTGTCTCAAAAAAAAAAAAAAAAAAGAAAAGAAAAAGAAACAAAGAGAGAGAGAGAGAGAAGGATAAGGATGAAAAGGAACAGAGAATGAAGAGGCAACACATTTTGCAGAAGTTAGTAATCACGCAGAGAACCAGAGAAAGGCCCTTTAGTCCTGCTCTATGTTCTCAGCCTCCAGGTCCAGCCCCAGGACCTGACCCTCAACAGACTGCCCAAGCTCTTGTGTCCTCAAACCTCATAGGTATTCAAATCTAGTGGCCTTTCCTCAATGCACACTCTTGCTAGGCTCTGAGAGAATGTTTTCCCCTGCTGGCTGTCTCCTGCCTCCTCCATTCTAGGTCATTCTCCCAGGGGAGAGGCAGCCAGCAAACAGCTACGTGTCTGGACCCTGAAGCCAGACTGCTTGGGTCCCGTTTCTGCAATCACCTGCCTGGGCTTACCCTATTCGGGCCTCAGTTTCCTTATCTATAATATGGGGATTCTAATAGTGCCTACCTCGTTGCTCTGTCATGAAGATGAAATGATTGACTGCACATAAAATGTGGCTCTCATTAATATACATAAGTAAGTGCTATTAATATACATAAGGGCGTGTTATTGTTACAATCCCAGAGCCCCGTTTCCCACAGCTTCTTCCTTTCTCTAGTACATTTCTCTTCCACAGTTCCTCTTAACTGCAGGTGTCCCCTAAGTTCTATTCCCACCCTTCTCTCTAGCAATGCCCACTTTGTGAATTCATTAGTTCTCCAGGTTCCAAGTCTCTTCCCCATACTGCTGACTCTCCAATCAGTGTCTGTGGCCTGGGCCCCTAACCTAGGCTGCTCTCTCCCTTTTCTGCTCAGATGTGTCACTGTCATCTCAAATCAAACATGTCCTCAATGGAACTCAACATTTTCCTCTTTAAGCAGGATCCTCATTCTCCCACCCACTTATGACACCATCCCAGCCTCCAACTCTCCCACTCTCCTCCTTTTCCCACCATCCAACCTATTAGCAAACCCTGCTGCTCTTCCATTAACTTCACTCTGATCCATCCCTTCCACTGCATTCCCACTGCCCCCACATCCGGGCCATCCTTCCCAGCACAAACCATTACCCAGCTTCACAACACATGTCCCCTTGATTAAGGAAAGTGCTTCTTCACTGGGCCGAATTGGCATTCTGAGTGGAAGAGCTTTCAATTCCAGAGAATAAGAGGAGCCCTGCTGAGAGGCTGGACTTCTAAGAGGTGCATTCAGCCCTACAGGATCCTAGCACTGAGGACCAGCTGGACACCCTTTGTCCCAGTCCTGAGATTAGGACACACACTCACACACTCATGCTCACACACACTCATGCATGCTCACACACACATGCACACTCACATTCCCACTCACATACTCACACTTGCACACACATACAGTTGTGCACACACACACGCACATTCATGAACACTCAAATGCACATGCATGCACACACACACACATACACTCAAGCATACACACTCTTATGGACAGACACTCACACATGCACATTCATGAACACTCACACATACATTCACACACACATGTCCAGGTGGCCTCTGTTTGGGAATGGGGACATCATTCGCCCAGCTGAGGATCATGGAGGCTCTTCCAAATTGAACCCATCCCAGACAAAGCTTCTCAGACACAGATGGCTCAAGCCTCCTCCATAGTCTCTCCCTTACTACCTGCCTCCTTCATCCTCCTCCACAGTCTCTCCCTTACTACCAGCCTCCTTCATTAACTCTTGATGAAGGAGGCAGGTAGCTCTTGCCCTCAGTTCACTACTTCCGTTCTTACCCTCCCCCTGCCCTTGGTTCTCCACTTCCTCTCTTATCCCCGTTCCAGGCCTCCCGCTGCTTTTGCTCCTTTTGCCCCTTGTTGCCTGACAGGCCTCTCAGCACTTGCTGTTTGTTCCCAACCCGGTTTGTCCTTTCCCTGACTGCACCATCAAATTCCCAGGCCTGCTCCAAACACCTCAGAATTAGTTCCACCGGGTCTGTCTCTTTGTTACTGTCTCTGATTCTCATGCATCATCGTGGCAGCTGAATTGGACATTCAGTTTGTTGAGAACAGAGACCACCCCAGTCTTTCACTTCCAGGGTCTGGCAAGGGAAAGGTAGCAGCCTCCTAGGTGATGCCACTTGGTAGATTTCAGTTTCTGATCAAAACCCGGTCACTTTGCCCCCTGCCCACTACCAGCCTGGGATGAATCCCTGCAGGAAGGTTTTAACAACCAGAACAGAATTGGAGCCAGGGAAAATTTCAGCTTCTCAACAGCTTTTTCACTGAGCATCCAAAATAAAAAAAGGTTGGTGCCAGCAGGTGACAAGCTCATTACTGGCGCGAGATGATCTGTCTGTGCCAGGCACTGATTCATTAGCACACTAGAAGTTGATGCTGAAGCTGGTCTGTGTTTCTTCCTCTCCATAAGCCCTGCCGTTGACTCACACTCATCAGCAACACACATGACAGCAAAGCTAAGCAGCATAGCCAGTGTCTTTACCTTCTTCTGCTTGGTGCAGGTCAGTGCTGTCTTTTAAGTCTTCATCCACCCAGGGGCGAGCCTCGGCCCTGGTTGTAGCCTCCCCCTTCTTTTTCTCCATGCTTCTATTAGCATTTTTAAAGATCCACACAACCAAAATGCAGAGAATGGCTACCAAGACGGGAGTCAAGAAAAACATGGTTCGGAGTCTGATGCACAGGGGTGCACACTTCCCACACTGGTTTTTAAACACACAGAGATAGAAACAGAGAATGCCGGGAGATGGAAGGAATGCAGAGAGAGCTGTGCCAGGGAAGGAACAAAGTGCAGAACTCTTTAACTCTATGAGGACTTTGCCAAGGAACAAAGATCACAGTCCCATGTGTGGGGTGTTGTGGCTTTGGTCATGCACCAGGGCATTCACTTTTTAAAATTACATACTCAAGCACCATCTTCTTAGGCAGCAATGCCAGAATCTGAGTAAGAACTTGCACATGCCAGATCTAGCTGGATCACGCCACCAAATCAGATCTGCTGGAAGAAAATGTTCAAAAAAGGGGTTTGGTAAAATTCATTTTAAATAGCATGTTTGTGAAACGCAGCCCTAGGGTTTTGATTTTTTTTAAATGATACGTGAGCCAATATATGAAATAAGGAGAATATCATGTTTTGCAGCAGAGAAAAGCTTTGATCTAGGAAATGTGACACAAAAAAATTAAAGTGACAACTTCATTATTTATATAATAACTTCAGTAAGGCTTTTTGTTTGTCTGTTTGTCTGTTTTAGTAAATGCCTTAGTCAATTACGGCTGAAGTAACAAACATACTGTGGATCTGGTGGCTTAAACAACAGAAGTTTATTTCTTGGCCTGGCATGGTGGCTCATGTCTGTAATCCTAGCACTTCGGGAGGCAGAAGGGGGCAGATCACTTGAGTCAGGAATTGGAGACCAGCCTGGCCAACCTGTTGAAACCCCTTCTCTACTAAAAATACAAAAATTAGCCAGGCATGGTAGCAGGCACCTGTAATTTCAGCTACTCAGGAGGCTAAGGCAGGAGAACAGCTTGAACCTGGGAGGCAAAGGTTGCAATGAATCAAGATTGTGTCACTGTACTCCAGCCTGGGTGACAAGAGCAAAACTCCCTCAGAAACAAAAAAGGAAGGAAGGAAGGAAGGAGGGAAGGAAGGAATGAAAAAAGAAAGAAATAAAGAAAGAGAGAGAGAGAAAGAAAGAAAGAATAAATAAATAAATAAATAAATAAATTTATCATAGTTCTGTAAATTGAGAAGTCCAGAATCAAGGTGCTGGAAAATTAGCTCCTGGTGAGGGCTCTCCTTCTGGTCTGCCGACAGGTACCTTCTTACTGTAACCTCACATGGTGGAGAGTGGAGACAGATCATCTCTCTCTTCTCGTTTCTTATAAGGCCACTCATCTCATTAATAAGGGCTCCACTCTCATCACCTGTTCACCTCCCAAAGGCCCAACCTCCAATACCATTATACTGGGGGTTAGGGCTCCAACATATCAATTTTTATTAAACACATTCAGTCTTTAGCATCAAAGTACAAAAGTATGTATAATACGATGCCATTTGAATAAAAAAAGTAGAAAATATGACACATTTATACAAGCCTGTATATGTATAACATTTCCTGGAAGAGTATACTCTAAACTTTAAAGAGTTGTTATATCAGGAATTCTCTTTATTAATTTTTCAATTTCTTGTGAGTCTATATTATTTCAAAATAAAGGGTTACAAGAACAGTGGTTACTTGTTTTGGAGCGAGTGTGGAAACTGGATAGATGGGGGACAAGAGTGAGAGAATTTCTACTGAATACTATTCCATAATTTCAGAATTTTGAGCTGTTGTAAATATATTAGCTATTTTTATAAATGAATATATGTTATTTATTTCAACAGTCATTTTGATGGTTTTGTTTTATTATGCATTGTAATACTCCTTTTCGTGATAGACAGCTGTTTTTTAAAATGTATGTCATACTGGTTCTCTAATGCCAGAGAACTCTGTAAAAGATTAGAAGTAAAGTTTGTTATGGAAGCATCAGGCTCCACAGACCATTGATTTGATGGTGCTGCCTGCCATGCTGACAACTTTTGTACAGGAAAAGTGCCCTCCCCTGTGCCTGCTGAAAGGATAGCAGAGGGAACATGTCCAGTCCATGTGATCCAACCCCACGCCTAACGCCAGGCAGCTGAAGATGGCAGAGCCTGTGTTGGGGCCCAGCTTCTCTTTACATCCCACTAAAAACACAGAATAAAGAAACCACTCCACAGCAAGAGAAGAGAAGAACAAATGTGCAGAGAGAAACAAGGCCTGAGAGGCAGCAACACCTTACAGCCCAGGGGCAAGACAAGCTGAGGGACCACGGGCGGCAAGTGCCTGGATAAATGTGTGGATGGATAGGGGGTCTTGGCCGATTGGCTGCATTTTGCCCTCTGAAAGCTCCTAGGAGGAGCCAGCCCTGGCTCATTTTCAGCCCATGTGTCTCTTTACCTTCGAAGGATCAGAAAGATCCTCTGTGCCTGTAACTACTAAAGTACAGTTCATATCAGTGCCAGGAACAGGATTAAGCCCAGGAAACCTAGGGCAGTGGAAATTGGTTATAGCATACAGGTGGATGAATACTGGAGGCACCCCCATCTCAGAAGGGACTACCAACACCTGCGGCGTGCAGCGGCTGGCCGGCTAATTGGATATTGCCTGAGTCTCTTGGGTTTCAGACCACATGCCCAGCAGAGTGAGTCCGTAGGGGATTCCAAAGCCACTAAGAGCCCGAAGGAAGCAGAAACTTAAGGACAACCAAGTGAGAGGGAGGCTTTCTGTCATGTTTGGCAGCTTGCAATGGGAAAGAAAAGATTCTTGCTCTCAATTGCTTGGTTCGAGGTATAGAAGGAAAGCAAAGTGAGCCCGCATTCCCTCACTAGTTCATCCACTCATTCATTTCACATATATTTTTTGGGATCCATGCAAAAGGCATTACATTAGGGGCCATAGAACAGAGAGGGCAGCAAGGGCTGCACATGCCTTCATTGAGCCCAGAGCCACAGGGAGACAAGCAGATCGAATCTCACATACTAACACCACATTGCAACTTCCCTAAGAGCTGCTAGGGAGCTGGCTGGAGGGTGACTGGGCCAAGTTGGTGAAATCGGAGGCTTCCCAGAGGAAGCAATGGCTGAGTTGAGGTCAGACCTGTGAGTGAGAATCAGTCATGGGGGAGGAGATAGCCTTACGGGTAGAGGGCGTGCTGTGGGCAAAGACCTATGCCTTGGAAGGAGCAGGTATCTGTGGAGAGGACTGTCAGGAGCATTTCAGGAGGGCATAATCACTGGGCGCAGGGAGCCAGAGAAGTAGGAAAGTGACAGATGAGGCAGGTCTCCAGAGGTCATGCTGGTAAATTTTTTATTCACCCTAAATGGAATGTGGGGAGGGAACAGTGACAGATTGAGAATTGGGGACACATCAAGAGCATACCATGTGGTGCCAGGTCCTCTGCTTAGCACTTACACATATAAACTCATATGTGCTCACAACAACCCTGTGCAATAGATCCCATTAGTAGCCTCATTTTCCAAATGAAGAAAATGAAGTACCAATAGGCCTAGGGTCAGTGTCAGATACATGGGCAGAAATAGCCCCTGTGTGTAACCCCTGGGATGGCTCCCCTGTTGTTCACTTCTTCATAGCAAACCAGAGTCCTTGGCCAGAGCCCCGTTGGTGCCACACTGGCCTGGTTGGGGAATGGAAAGTGGGAGGTGCAGGTTTCTGGCACAGAGGCAGGTTGGCATCTGGTGGCTCCAGCTTAGCTTAGAAGGAATACAGAAAAGAGGTGTAAAAATGTGTATAGCACAGAGGAAAAGAATTGGCAGCTGCTGCCAGGAGGCAAAGGGTGGCAGGAACAGGTAGTGGAGAAGGGAAGGGCAGGTCATGGTGAGGCCAGGAGGGGAGGCACACAGCTCCAGAGCTCTGGTGCCCACACTGCTTTTTATTCCAAAGCACCTGCATGGTCCATGAAACACAGCCTTCCAAGGACTCTCACTCCTGGATACCAACCCTGCCTCCTTCTTGGTGTGGATTCCCACAATGCTTAACTGAGCTAGACCCCCAGTTCTCCATATCCAACTCGCTCTCCATGGCCAGGCCTCTCTTTCATGGTCAAGTCAGATAGCAAATGCCTCATTGGTTCCCCACCAAGCTTGATGGTAAAGGCCCCTGCTAATGTCAGGGTTTCCATTTGGTTTTGCTTTGGAAGCAGAGCTGTGGCTGGGGCAGAGTGAGCTGCCACACAGTTGTTGGAAATAGATGCTCAGTGCTGCCAAGAAAAATTAGCACTAGGACAAAGGATCTTTCAGCAACGCAACTTTTACTTCCTGGACTGCAGGAAGGGCACCCTCACTAGCCATCTTGCCATAAGAGTACAATGAACAAAGGAAAAAAACACAAATTTTCCCCATACACATTTGGGGTCGTCCTTACTGCTGTGTCTGAACTCCATTGGCTGGAGCCAGACCTCACAATCTAAACTAAAACCCGATTGGCTGACAACTTAAAACTATTCTAAACAGCTAAAAGCAATGGGGATCTGGGACATGCCTGTGAGCACATCCAGCACAGATGTTTTGGTTAAGGTACAAGGACATAGAATGTACTACATGCCTGTAAGTATGGCATATCTAACAGCTACATAGGATAGGGCTTCACAAAGTTATTAGCACACTTATTCTTTAACAAGAAAGGTAACTTTAAAAAGGAACTTTTCTGCTTCCCATACTGCTGACTTGTAGAAGGCCCAACTACCTCTCTCCTCTGAGTAGCTCTAAAGCATCCTGGTTAGCTTGTTTTCCCAACATGTTTTCCTCATTAAGTTAGGAAAAGGGAGTGAGTGGTGAGGGTGGATGCAGTGGAAGGTGGTATGAGACACTTTCACACAGGTCGTGTTTCATTACTCACTTCAGAGTGGTTGTCTGGTTTAATCATTTCATTTCCACTGATGACAGAAAATTTTGCTAACAGACAATTTTGGCTAGGCACAGTGGCTCATGTCTATAATCCCAGTGAGTTGGGAGGCTGAGGCAGGAGGATCACTTGAGGCCAGGAGTTTGAGACCAGCCTGTCAACATAGCAAGACCTTATCTCTACAAACAAACAAACAAACAAAAAATTAAAATTGGCTGTGCATGGTGGCCCATGGCTACTCAGGAGCTAAGTGAGAGGATCACTCGAGCGCAAGTGTCTGAGGCTACTGTGAGCTGTGATGGCACCACTGCACCCCAGCCTGAGTGATAGAGCAAGATCCTGTCTTATGT